ACCCAGGCCCTGAGTTCAAGACCCAAATCAGGCAAAAATAAATAAGGCCTACCCTTTTATTGAAACTAAGCAGCACTGTGTGTCTTTTCATAAACTTTAATGACACTGACTACAGACAGGCTGTACAGTATGGCAAACATGCAGAGATACGTTGTGTCCTGCCACATATGCATATTTCCTTCTGCATTGCTAGAAGCAGCTACAGCTGGCAGGCCCTGAAACCATCAACAAGCCTGCATTGTTCATCATACCATGGCTCAGAGGAATTCTTCCAGACTCTGAGAGAACAAACTATGCTCTATTCGTAGAATTCTTTCCCACGTGAGGCCCAGATCAATAGTGACTATTCCTTTCATCATTAGTATATGATCGCTGTCATCATCCGAGTGAGTTCCTGACCTCATGGGGTGTAATCCGTATGCTCAATGCTCCATAAATGTTTGTTGGACACATTAGTGCATGCAAGATGGGAATCTAAGGGTTTGGTGAAGGAGTGAATGCATGAAGAAGCGTCTAGTTTCCCCTCTCTGCCTCAATAACGCACAACTGGGACTTTGTTTCCTTTTCCTCAGCCTTCCTTCAAATCTCTGGAAAGATGAGCCTAAGTTGTAGGCCCTTCGCCTCCACTCTGTTATAGGTGTTCCTTCTCACTCTGTCTTCCTCCTGGCTCTCTGGCTTCTCCCCATCCAGCTGTGTGCTCCACACTAGCAGTTCCTTAAAGATCCCATCTCTTCTCCCTACTTCCCTCAGAGCCAGGATGAGACAGGAGAGATGGTACAAGCACAAAATTGAAGGAGGCAGGGAGATGCAGGGTTGTGCCCATGCCATGTCAGGAGAGGTAAGGTACCTCTGAGTGTCATCCCTGCAGAAAATCAGTGACAGTGGGTGTTTCTAAGATGTGATGGAGGCCACATTCCCTCTGGGGTGTTCTGCCTTGGGTCTAGTCCTCCTGCCATTCCACAGCTGCCCACCGTGGCTGGTTGGGAAGGGGCTGCCAGGAACTCACCACCCCGGCATAGTGTCTGCTGACAGACCATGCAGGAAGGGGGATGTTAGAAAAGTTCAACAAAATTGGCTTGTATACACAATTCATGAACTGGGGCCACAACCCTCTACAAGCTTGATAAATGACCCAGCTACTTAATAGGTCATTTCAAAGCTATTCTCCTATTAGGTTTAGAACTAGAGGGACTTCCTTGGGCTCAGGAAAGTGGCTGCTGTAAGTTTCTTCCTTTTGTTTGCTTGTTTTGGGAACTCTCCTTTTTAAAGATCAGTTGGATTATGGGAGCACCTGGCAGGAATGACTCCATTCTGGTTTGGACTGCTCAGGATCTCCATCCAACCATGTTGCCCTTGAAGTTCCATTGAGCAGTTCTTGAGCAGGTTCACATGGCCCCTTCACCCCATCCCCACAAGTCATCTCAAAGCTGCACCCAGGGGTCTAGCCTCTCCCCAATAACACCTCCATCTTCTCCCACCTCCATCTGTACTCCCTCCGTCCTGTATTCCCTGTCCTGCCTGGTTCCCCCGCTTTAATTCTTCAATCACCCCCACTTTCTTTTCCTTTCCCTCTCTCCCCTGCTCCCAGCCCCCAAGAGAAGCATGGCCCCATTCTGCCCTTGGACAGGGCACCTCATGCAAGCTTGGCACGACTTCATCCAAATTCCATCCAGCCCGAGTCTCTACACCGAGCAACTCAGGGTTAATGGTCAAGGTCAGGCAAGCTGTTTGGCCAAGGTTAACACCTGCTCCCCACCTTCCAGGCAACCTACACTAGAGATGGGCTTATGGTGGAGTCTGCACCATTCGCGCATGGCAGATGTTGCTGCTACCGCTCCAGCCTCAGCACACACGCACACACCAGACTCTGCCTGACTCCAGTTTCCCAGAAAGGCCCCAGGGAGGCTGAGTAGCAGCCCTGGCTGCCAGCTGCTCTCTTAATTAAGGAATGCGGGGAGTGGCCCCTTTGAACTCACCTGCTAATTTACTCTAGCACACTCCCCCCTGTGGCTGGGTAATTAATGTGGTGTGAACCAGTGATTAGCAGTGGTGGGGAGAATCTGCCTGTAGCTGCCTTAACCCTTCCCTGTACCTGGGAAGAAGCCTGGCTGTCTTCAGTTCATCTTTCTGCAGTGGTGCTTCAGGCTGGCTAAATAAATTTCTTCTCTTTGGGGAGGTGAGATATTTTCCATTCCTTATCAAACCTCCTCCTCCTCCCCCTCAGCTTCCAAGGTAAGAGAGGTTTAAAGAACCACTAGGAACAACCAATTTTGCTAAGAAAAATAATGACCATGAGTGCTTGCCTAGCATGCATGAAGCCCCAGGTTTGATTCCCCAGTACCACATGCACAGAAAAAGCCAGAAGTGGCACTTTGGCTCAAGTGGTAGTGTGATAGCCTTGAGCAAAAGAAGCTCAGGGACAGTGACCAGGCCCTAAATTCAAGCCCCAAGGCTGGCAGAAAATAATAATAATAATGACTGTCCATTGTCCCTTCAGAAGGAATTCAGGATCTGGTCCATGCTGGCCCTAGTCCTAAGCCCTCACAGGCCCAAGTCTGGATACTCCAGAATCATTCCATCCAAGCTGGCAGATGCTTAGAGGGCATCTCCTCGTGGAAAGCCTGTCTCAGAAATGGACAGGATGCAGAAATAAACAGGGCATGGTCCCTGCCTTCAAGGGCTTAGAAGACTAGAAGAGATGAAGCAGGATACTGCTCTGTCTCAAACACACCTTTATCCTCATCCACATGGCTGTCCCCTCTTCCCTGTGTCTTGCACCTTAATAAAACAATGGCTCACAGTGTTTTGAGGACTCCATATACAGCAGACCTATTGCAAACCCTAAGAGGCGTTAGATTGGCATCCCTTAGAGGTAGACCTTGTTATGAATTCCCATTCGTCTGGTGAGCACACTGCAACGTAAGAATGACTTCACTTGTGATTTTACAGCCAAGATCTGCTCCCCACTCTAACTTAGGAGCTGGAGTTCTTAACTGCTTCCATCATCCGTTTGCTCCGCTCCAACACCAGCCCTTCCACAAAGCCTTCCCTAGCCTCCCACACTCCCAGGCGGGGGCAGGACTCTTCCCCTCTAGCTCCCATAGCATCCTCTGCACACTTCTGGCATTGTTCTCACCATACTGATTGTAATTATTGGGTTACATATCCCATCCTCTCCTCTAAACTTCAAATTCCCTGAAGGCAGGGACTAAGCCTTTCATGTCTGTGTCCCCAGCACCTGGCACCTAAGTAGATGCTCAATAAATGCCTGATGAATGGGTGACAGAAATGACAATAGAGTCATAAATAATTCCCCTCTCCCAGCCTCTCTATCCTACAACCAGGCAGCTTCCAGGTTCTTCCAGGACTTCTGCTCTGTCCCATTTCTCTCTACTCCAGATATTTCCTTCCTGGTCCGAGCCTTTGTCCTTTTCCCAGGACCATCACAACAGTTGGTCTCCAGGCTTTCCTGCATCTTTTTTCTCTGCCAACCTGCCCTACATGCTATCCTCTCATCAGGAAGTCACCCCCAGACCAAAACAGGATCCAGGCAGTGCTTCTTAAAACTCTCTCAAAGTCCACCTGCTGCACATCCCCCTGGAGCAAAGTGCTGGTTAGAACTAAGATTCCTGAGACCATCCCCATCCACAAAACCAATATCCCTGGGAACCCAACCCAAGTATTTAACAACCATATGAGCAACTGGTCTCCAGAATATCTCAACACAGTATTCAAGGTCTCTGTGATCTGAACCCAATCCTACCATTTCCCTGTGGGCCCTCATGTCCCCCTCCCTACCGCCAGCCTATTTTCCTACCACCATGACTGCACATTCTGCTTTCCCCTCATGTTTAGGGCCCACTAGCACCTATGGCCTGCTCCTTTCTCCCTAATCTAAACCATGTCCAGTGTCACTTGCTCAGAAGGCATTCCCTGCCCAGATCCACAGAGACCTCTTCCCTACCCCCTCCTGCAGTGTGAACTACATGTGTGACCTGTGTAGAGTCAAAGGCGCTTGTCTACAGGCAGCCCCAGCATAGCTGCTTCTGTATGTTGCATGCACCTGGAAGGCAGGAGCTCTAGTACCAAACTCTTCTGCTTCCCACCATGCCATCTGCATACATCTTGGCTGAGTCCAAAGCATGATGTTGTTTGACTAACAGGTCAAAGGCTTCCCAGGACCAGACTCAACCATCCTCACTCAGGACAGCCAGGAATCTTCCTCAAGGACAACATCTTTTCTCACATAAGCAACCAGGTAAGTAAAAGTGAGAAGAGAAACAGAGTGAAAAGAGGGTATGTGTGGCAAACATGAAGCACATCCTGCCTCTCAGCACACCTCAACAAAGTGTTGGAGCTCACCTTGCCTTTAACTTCTCCCACTTCCAACAAGGCTAGCAGAAGATCTGTCTGAAAACAATCACAGAGACTACACAGAAAAAAACAGGCAATCGTGTCTAGCACCCATCCATACATTTAACAGATATTCATTAAACATCTATCATGCACCCAGCACTGAAGAGAACAGAGAAACAGACACTATCCATCACCGTCTAACCAGCGAACATCAGAAAACTGCCATGGTGATATGCTGAGGGCAGTGAGAGAAGAATCTGTACACACAAAGGAACAGAGCGGGAGCAGTTCTCACTCCCCTTGACATCAGGAAGTGTTGAATGACAACCTGGCTGGGCTCAAAGCTGAGCCAGGTCTGCAAGGATAAATGGAACCCCATTCATGCCTGGTGGAGGAACAAGTAACGTAGGTGCTTCTGAAAAGAGATCATTCTGGATGAGACAGCCAGAAAGCAGAGTAGGTATACCAAAGCCTCACGTGCTGAGCTGAGAGTTCAGTCTTTATCCCAAGAGCAACAGGAAGCCAAGAGAGAACTCTCCAGCAGAGGGGAAGTGATTTGGTCAGCACTGCAACTCAGAAGGCTCTCTGTGGCTGTAGGGAAGGCCCGGACAGAACTGGGCAGGGCTGGATGCAGTGAGGCCTGGTGACAGTGATCGAGCAGCACGTGGGCTGTGTAGGTGTGCATATCACTATGCATCGTCCAGCCATGTGCACAGGAAAGAGGCTGACTTACAAGAATCTGCTCTCAAAACCCCAGCAAGGTCCAGGGAAGCCTGCTGCCAACTTCCACTTTACTGTGGATGTTTTCACTTTCGGGGTATCTTGTTCTGAGTCAAGATTCCTCCTTCCTAATATGGGACTTTCCAGAAGAAGACCACAGCTGTTCCCGTGCATCCGCCTTGGCCCTGCAATGTTCTGAAGTTGGGTTGTCAAGGGAGTTTGCCTGCCTCTCTGGAGGAAGAAAATGGCCATGTGGTCTCTCTGGCGTCTGCTTCTCTGGGAAGGTAAGTGGGGGAGGTGGACAACCTATCCTCAGAGTGCTGAAGGCCCCTTTCAGACCCCTGAGCAGCCCTACCTACCACTACCACCAAGCCAGATGAGAATCCAGGAGCTCGGGGGGAGAAGAGGAGAGTGAAGCAAGTTTTGGGGCAACATTTCAAGCTAGTGGATACAAAGCGGGACGCGAGAATACTGGATGGGAAGAGGTTGCAGCACTAGAAGCGTCTATGCCCCAAGTCATGTGGCCCAGGAAAATTAGAAGCAAACCAGGAGCACTGCTGATCCGGAGAGAAAGTTGGGAGGCTGTGGCATTGGTAGCACGTGGGAATTCTACATATAGTCTGGGTAGAGAAGAGGAAGGCCTGGAGAGCGGGAGCAGGACTAAGAAGTGTGTTCTCGGTAGTCTGTGGGAACACTAGGGTCCCTCTCTGCAGCCTGTGCAAGGAAGGGGAGGGTGGATATTAAGTAGGAAGGAGAAATTAAAGCAGGTTTCAGTATGGTTCCTATGAACTTGAGAATGGCTGACAACGAGATGTTGAAATGGCTGAGCTAAGGGGCATCTTCTGCACTGGGCAAATCCTGCCATCAGTCTGATGCCTGACTTTCCCTCTCTATCAACAAGTGTCAGCCCCTGCAGGCTGAGGGATGGGAGTCACATGATATATAGCAAAGGCCACAATGCTACTGTTTCTATCAGAGACACACCTGTTGTTTTGCCCATCATCGCTGCCTGAGTTTCTGGCCCTGGGGGTTCTAAAAGCCCTTCAGGTTTCTTCAGCATTTCTAAATGTGTGTGGGAAGTGACACTTTATAGTTGTTAAAAGATCCTTAAAACCTTTTAAGTCATTGGGTATGTACTTGGAATTAGACACTGAACATGTGGACTTTTTGAAAAAATAATTATTGCTTTTTCTGCACACTAAACAGATGATCTAACCATAGGGATATTGGACAATATCCTTAGCCCTTAAATAATTTTAGGTTCTTTGGGGCAAGAGATGAGTAAATATGATCCAATACAGGCCCCACGTTTTACAGGCAAGACCACTGAAGCTTAGGGAAGGAGGATGATACACTGAATGTAACACAACTGATTTATGTCAACACCAGGGCAGAATAGAACATAGGTCTCGACTGGCATCCAGTGCAATTCTCTCTACATGCTCTGTCTGCATTTTGTATTAACACCGGATCTGAAGCCATGTCTAGGCGAGATGGAAATGTCTGGGGCTAGAGAGAGATGTGAGATGGATGAGGGATTGGAGTTATTGTTGCCAGTTCAGTGCCCATCCTTAACCCAGTTCCCAACAATGAGGTCCATGATGTGTCAGCCTTTCTTCTGCACTATCTCTCATGTCTGCTGCAGTGTCAGGCACAGGGTCAGTCCTCAGCAAATTCAGCACAATTTAGAGTTTCTCCTGTAGCCTGATCCTAAACAGGGTGGGCACTGGGAGTACAAGGATGAAATAAACTGTTGTTGGCCTCGAAGACTCATGGTCTGATGGGAGGTGCTGACTCAGAAGCAGATACTAATAGAATAACAATAGGCATGGTGCTGGTGCCTGGCTACTACGGGGAGCACAGAAAGAGTTGTAACCTGGGGTGAGAGATAGGGGAGGTTGGAGGAAGCAGGGAAATTTCAAGAATGGGAAGAAATTAGCCAGGGAAGGACTCAGGAGGGTATTCCAAGCAGAGATATCTTCTTCACACCTCAAACTCAAATCAATCCCCCTAGAAATCAAGCATCCCCCTGTGCATTTCCCCCCAGTTCCAGCTCACAGTGCTGGGACCTTGGGACCAATGGGTCCCAAGGATCTGGGAACCATCTCTATTCCTTTGCCTCCTGTACTCTCCAGATCTAATCTATTACTAAATCCTTCCAATTAGGATTAGTAATCTCTTGGTTGGTCCCACTTCTCCTGAGGCTCCTTCCCCAGGGTCAAGTCTCCATTCCCCCGCCCCCTTGGATTAATATAAACAGCCTCAGTCTTGGATGCATTCTCTATACCCCTGGCTGGAGTGATCTTCCCAACCATGCATCTAATCATGTCGCTCTACTGCTTAAAGCCCATCCAAGATGCAACTCCCCCCTCCCCCCCACCCACTTCCCCCACCCTCCTACCCCACCCCTCCCCACCCCCCCCACCCCACCCCACCCCATACACATCACACCATGCACACACACATTGCTCTAAGGATAAAAGCCCCAAGTCCAATGCAGCTTTCGGGTCTCAGAACAATCTGGCTCCTACCACCTCTGCAGTTTCTTACTCTCCTTGCAGAGAATCACTTTGAGTTCCTCCACACACACTCCCTCCAGGTCCTCTTCCCTCTGCTCTTCCCTCTGCCTCCAGCAGCCATTGCTTGGCCAAGTTGATTCCAGCTCCTTCCATTCTCAGCTCCTCAAGGCTAAGTGAAAATCCCTATCACCTTACCTGTGTTTTCCTAGTCCTAGGACCAACTCATTTTCCTGTCACAATACTTAACGTACTTTGTGTCTGGGCCTGTCAGTACTGAGGCTTGAACTCAGAGCCTCACAAGCTCATTTGACTATTTCACTCAAGGCTGGCACTCTGCCACCTTGAAAATAAGAGAGTTGAGGATTTATCTGCCCTTTCTGGCATTGAACCTCAATCCCCAGATCTCAACTCCCTGAGTAGCTAGGATTGAAGACATGATCCACCTGTGCCCCCATTAACATACTCTTTACTTGCTTCCTATTTGACCAACATAAATAGACTACAATGAAATTCTCTTCCTGCTTATTTTATCCCCAATACCTAGACTCAACTTAAGTATAGAGAGTGTGGGTGGAGGGGCCTTTATCTACTCCAGGGCAGCTCAGTGGCATGAGAGAGAGAGATAAGAAGCATTCACTGGTAGGCTGACCAGGGTCTTTGTCCTTCCAGCACTTATTGAAGTTATTTGTGCTCAAGTGCTGAGCAAGGTGGGGGGTTCTGTGCTGCTGGTGGTAGAGCACCCGCCCAATTTTCAAGTTCGTGAAGCCATCTGGCGATCTCTGTGGCCTTCGGAGGAACTCCTGGCCACGTTCTTCAGGGGCTCCCTGGAGACTCTGTACCATTCCCGCTTCCTGGGCCGAGCTCAGCTACACAGTAACCTCAGCCTGGAACTTGGGCCCCTGGAGTCTGGAGACAGCGGCAACTTCTCTGTGCTGATGGTGGACACAGGAGGCCGGGCCTGGACCCAAACCCTGCAACTCAAGGTGTACGGTGAGTGTGGGTGACATTGGCGTCCTGACCCTCTCCTTCTACAAAGCATTCGAAATCATGAGTCACGGCACCTGGGGAGAGGTGAGTTCCAGAAAACTTTGGTCTCTGATCACGTTGCTAACTCAGGGAACAGCTGCTCCCTGGCAATCGCACCGAAGAAAACTCCCCGGATACTTCCACGTGAGCGCCTGCCTGGGGCAGCTGAGCTTCGCCATCCCACTGTCCTTATCTGAACTCCACTTGATCTGTTCTTGGCTTAGCAGCCTCGGACTCAATTCTTACCTCCCTGACCTTCAACCTTCTCATTTGTAAAGTAAGCATTATGATATTCCGGTGGATAGTGACCATGAAGGTAAAATGCAATGATACTAAGCTCTCTCCTATCCATTTGTTCTAATGTCTCGCCATAGATTATGTTATGCAATCATTTTCTGTACAACTAAAAAGGAAAGTGTTACATATTTAACATTGCCACTAAATGCAAGGCTCTGAGTTCAAACCCCAGCAACACCAAAAAAATTTTTAGTTTTATTATTAAGTAGTTGTACAAAGAGGTGACAATTCCATATGTCAGGTTATGTAGAACAATCCATCTTCACCAATGCCAACCCTGCCATCACTCTCCCCCATTTTTCCCACTCCCATCCTTACCCTCCAACTACAGAGTTCAATGTTTGCATAATCTTCCATGGACATAATGGCTACATTTGTTCACCTCTTCCCTCCTTTTGGGCACCTTCCCTTTGTGGTCCTTACCCCAGCCCCAGCATGTTTTTTATTTCCTAGTTTTAAAAAAACCACTTCTAATTAAAATATAAATTACAACATAACAGTTTCTATTTATAAATTAGAGTCAACTTTTACTATAATTATACCACAATTTTGGGTGTGTATTTCTCTTTAGTTTGGTTGTTGGGGGGGTTGGTTGTTTTTGTTTTTAGGGGTTTTTGGTCATGGGGCTTGAACTCTGGGCCTAGGCGCTGTCCCTCAGCTCTTCAGCTCAAGGCTAGCACTCTACCACTTGAGCCACAGCACCACTTCCAGTTTTCTGAGTGGTTTATTGGAGATAAGTGTCTCACAGCCTTTCCTGCCTGGGCTGGCTTTGAGCCACAATCCTCAGATCTCAGCCTCCTGAGTAGCTAGGATTATAGGCATGAGCCACTACACTCCGCTACGTGTGTACTACACCTACACCTAGCTAGGCATGAGCCACTATGCCCGGCCAAGGTTGTTGGGGTTCTTGTGTGTGTGGTTGTTGGTGCTGCTACTGTTGTTTGAGTGCTAGAGATTGACAATAGAACTTGTACTTGCTGAGTATGGACTGTACCACTGATCTATACTCTCAGCCCTGCATTTCTTTTTATTTTTGAATTATTTTATTTGTTTTTAATTTTATTATCTTTAAGTAGTTGGACAAATTCAATGTGTCCATTTATGAGGATAATGTACCTTGATTAAGGATACGCCTTCTATCAATGTCTCTCTACCCATCCCCTCAAGTTATCTGGTTCCATTTTCATATCTGTGCATTGAATGTAGCCCTGTTTTTGTTAAAAGAGGTGGTTTATTTTTAGAGACATTTTAAGTAGATGCTATCCCTGGATTCACTGTCATTCATCATTGCAAAACAAAGTATCTCAAAACTTAAGAGCTAGCCAGGCACTGGTGGCTCACACCTGTATTCCTAGCTACTCAGAAGGCTGAGATCTGAGGATCACGGTTAAAGACAGCCCAGGCAGGAAAGGCCGTGAGACTCCAATTAACCACCAGAAAACTGGAAGTGGCACTGTGGCTAAAGTGATAGCGTACTCGCTTTGAGCTGAAAAGCTCAGAGACAGCACCCAGGCCCAAAGTTCAAGTCCCACAACTAACCAAAAATAAATAAATAAATAAAACAAAATAAACAAAACTTAAGAGCTAAAAAACAACTGCTTTTATTTTTCATGTTCTTCTGGGTTGGCAGGACCCCATTAAGCAGATTTTCTGCTTCACTTGATCTTCCAGGTGGTCCCTGCTGCTGCTTTTATCCCTTGCAGCTGGAATAGCTGAGTTATCCGGGAGCAGAGTGGGCTTTGTTCTGCAACAAACCCTCCTTCACTGCCCCCTTCCATTCCTCCACCGCCCCCTTCCACTCCGCCACCACCCCCTTCCATTCCTCCACTGTCTCTACACATTTCTGCTAGTCAAAAAAAAAAAAAAAATGCCAGGCACCAATGGCTCACACCTGTAATCCTAGCTACTCAGGAGGCTGAGATCTGAGGATCGTGGTTCAAAGCCAACCTGGGCAGAAAAGTCCGTGAGACTCTGATCTCCAATAAACCACTAGAACACTGGAAGTGGCGCTGTGGCTCAAGAGGTAGAGTTCTTCCCTTGAGCTTAGAGCACAGGGCACAGGGACAGCATCCAGGCCCAGAGTTCAAACCCCACGACAGATTAAAAAAAAATGTCTTTTAGTCTCATTCATCTCTCTAATGGCTTAGGGAAGAGATGAGAGGGATTCCTAAACCACAATTTCAGTGGAAATAGTGGACCAAAATATGAATAGGAAAAAGAAGAAAAATCCAAATGCATAGTAGGTCCCAGTGCTGATGGCTCACACCTGTAATCCTAGCTACTCAGGAGGTTGAGATCTGAGGATCATAGTTCAAAGCCTACCCAGGAAGGAAAAGCCATGAGACTTCTATCTTCAATTAACCACCAAAAAGCCAAACATGGAGCTGTGGTTCAAATGATACTGTGCCAGCCTTGAGCAAAAAAACTAAGGTCCTTAGTTCAAGCCCCAGTACTGGTATAAAACACACACACACACACACACACACACACACACACACACTCACACACACACACGATATCAATCAATCAAGAATGGAAAGTAGGGATAGCAACTGAAAAAAGGAAGCAGAGGAAAGGAAGGCTATAAGCAAACCAGAGAGGCATCTTGAACTCTCAGAGACAGTTATCAGGCCTCCCTGGGGGGAGCCATTCACAGTACAGATGTGCAATGAGAGGATGCCCTCCTGGATACACAAAGCCCTGAGCCAGGCTGCACATCTTGGCAAGCAGACTGCTGGCTGGATTTCAGCACACACACCCCACCCCACTCCAACCCTCTAGCCTGATGCCCTTGTACAGTGACTAACTCCCACAACCATGGAAGCCCTACAGCCCCTCCCCCCTTGTGATTCTCAGCTGCTGCATGTGTTAAATGAGGACATTCAATGTGACAATACACACAGCACCCACACCGCTAAGCTCTAAAATGCCTTGTTCTCAGTATCTGAATTACAGATTTTAAGGAAATTGCTGTTTTATTGCTTCCAAATACATAGCGTGATTAGAACTAATTGCAGGAAGCTGCCAAGCAGCCATCCTTAGGAGCTCTGCTTTGACAATAGATAAGAATGATGTGAATTAGCAGATCAGTTACGAGACATGTCGATGGGTGTTTCTACTGCGCCTGATCGTGTTTGGAAGCCGAGTGTCCTCCTAAGTGGTGTAAATATCCCCCCTGTAATCTTTGTTTATACTATTAGTATGCCCAGCAAATCATTTCCTTTTTCATATCACAAATCCCACCAGACTGAGCTGGCATTAAGGAGGTTTTACTCTGCTTGACTCTGGAATGCTGTCAGACACTGAGCACTCCCGTTGACATTGTAATGCTCTCCCACTGGCCCCATTGCCACAGAGATTCAGATTTACTCATCAATCTCTATAGCAATGAGGAAGGCACTGCTTAGGGTACCAGGACACCAATTTGCTCAGTGGCCTAGGTATTGAACACCTATTTTCTGACACTAGGCTGCTAAGGTTATTGAGATAACAAGAAAGAGCTCCTTAAAATCATATTGTCCTGTACCCTTCTCATTATTCCTTTTTAGCTATTCATAGTCATTTGTCAGGATCTGTCTTTCTTACTAAACTATAAACTCCAAATCCCCAGGGATGTGTTTTCTTGCCTGAATTAATAAGTGTTTGTTATCTCTTGTTGACTGCTTAGAAAGCTAAAAGCCATTCCTGAAATAACAGGGAAAATTTCACAATTTAGACTTTAATGACTTTAATATGTCCAAGCTGGGTCTTGAAGATTACATAGGAGCTCTTAAGGAGGACAGAGAGAGAAATCATTTATGTGTGCCAATGAACTACAAAGAAGCGTGAAAGATCTGAAACAGCATCACACGCTTAGGAGAGTTGCAAATTAATGAGTGTCAGAAGGAGGAGACACTGGAGGGAATCAGTTCACAAAGTGTCTGGATATTGGCCTAAGACTCAGCTTCTGTCTGGTGGGCCCAACATCCTTGTAATGACTATCTGCTCTGCTGTTCTTACCCAGATGCAGTACCAAGGCCCACAGTTCAGGTGTTCGTTGCTGTAACAGGGGATACTCAGCCCTCTAACATCTGCCAGGTCTTCCTGTCCTGCTTGGGTCCCAACATCAGTGACATAACCTATAGCTGGCGACGAGAAGGGACAATGGACCTTGATGTTGAACCACACAGCCTCTTCACAGAGGGACAGGTGCTAAGTATTTCGGTAGGACTGAGAGACAAGGATGTGGCTTATTCCTGCATCATCTCCAACCCTGTCAGCTGGGGTGTGGCCACAGTCACCCCTTGGAAGAGCTGCAACCATGAGACAGGTATGCCAGGGGCCAGGGATCAATGATGGAGGGAGGGTGAAGCATTGGGTCCACCCCTGACCCAACCCTTCTGTGTCCAGCATCAGAGAAGACCTCCTACAAGGATGTGCTACTGGTGGTGGTACCAGTCTCGCTGCTCCTGATCCTGGTTGGTCTCTTCTCAGTATGGCACTGTGGCCCCTGCTCAGGTAAGAGGGATCCAGCAGGTGCAGGAGATGGGGAAGGAGGTAAATCTGCTGGGTAGGAAGCTTGGGTTGAACCTTCTTCCATTTTTATGTTAGGCTCCAGATGACCTATTCCCTTCACCTCTTCCTGCCTTGTCTCTTGGCCCTCTTCATCTCATGCGTTGTTCAAGTAGACTGAACTGTGTGAAGTCTTCTTTCAACGCTCTACAAATGACATACTCTCCTACACATCTTAGGGCCTATGCACATTCTATTCCATCTGACTGGGAGTTTCCTCTCAAATCCCCTTTTCTATTTGGCTTAAATCTTCAAAGTTAGCCCGCTCCAGGAAGCCTCCTCCATATACCCACAGCTAGGTGCAGACTTTCTTTAATTTCAGCTTTTATCCTGATCACAGAGCTAATGACACTCCCTTGCTGAATTCTGGTCACTAGGTCACCATGGGGCATTACCAGTGGTGCCTAGAACTCAATGGTCCATAAAATATGACTAGGATTGATAAATATGTATTGAGAAAAAGTACCAGGGACTCACAACCTCTCCTTGCCTACCATTCTTAGAAAGTGTCTCTCTGAGAGAAGTCCCCTCCCTGGACAATGCCTGGCAGTGCCACCTTTTTTTTAAAAAAAAAAAAAAGGGGGGGGGGATGGGGGGAATCTGAGATCAGGCAACAACACTGAGTCTTGCACCCAGCTTAGCTTTCTCTCTGCTCCCAGACGCCTTGTCCCTGAAAAATGGACTGGACTGACCTAGGCTCTGTGGCTGCTTTTACATCCAACTGTTTGAGCTTGCTGGTCCCTGGATCAGCAAAGAAGAAGCACTGAGAGCTCACTACAGTGAATGTGTCCTGGAAAGCCAGCATCTTGGCACATCCACTAAGCATGGAGGCAAAAAGTGCATGATTGCTGATATTCTTCCCAGGGGACAGGGAGAGCTGGTGGCAGCTTAGACTGCACTCCTCCTACAGGCTCTGTCTACAGGCATAGCATCTGGCCCTAGCCCTTTGCCCCTGAGAGTCTCCAGTATTTATTTACAGAAAGAAGGTAGATTCCAAGAAAAGAACAGCTATTTATTTGTTTATTTATTTATTTATTTTGCCAGTCCTGGGGCTTGAACTCATGGCCTGGGCTCTATCCTGGAGCCTCTCTGTGCTGAAGGCTAGCACTGTATCACTTGAAGCACAGAGCCACTTTTGGCTTTTCCTGTTTATGTGGTACTGAGGAATCAAACCCAAGGCTTCATTCATGCTAGGCAAACACTCTATCACTAAGCCACATTCCCAGCCCAAGAACAGCTCCTTAAAATCAACCTTATTAGCCGGGTGCCAGTGGCTCATACCTATAATCCTAGCTACTCACTTAGGAGGCTGAGATCTGAGAATCACAGTTCAAAGTCAGCCCAGGCAAGAAAATCCTGAGCAGGCCTTGAGTTCAAAGCCTATGACCAACAACAACAACAAGCCCTTATTAAGGTAAATGTTACACACTGTATAATCCATCTATTTATAAAGTGTACACCTCAATAACTTTTAGCATATTTACCGAGTTGTACATCCAATACCACAACCAACTTTAAAACATTCCCATTGCCCACTTAAAAAAATTCTATGACCACTTAGCAAATACCTCCCAAATCCTCCCATGCCTCCCACAACCCTGGACAACCACTGATCACTTTTAATCACTACACATTTGTCTACTCTGGATATTTTGTACCAATGGTCTCAGACTATATGATGTTTCAAGGTTCATAAAAGAGTAGCTTTAGCCCCTGAGAAGGGACAGAGAGGACCCAACCACCTGGGATAGTGGAAAGGATCTACACACAAGGGATCACATACTGGTCTTAATTCTGCCATGTGGCTTCTGATTACTTACCAGGCCCATCACAGTCCTCTCTATACCTTCTGTAAGCCATATCTATAGCACAGGAAGACATTAGAAAGAACTCCTCTTTTTAAAGAATCTCCTCCCCCACCCCACCCCCAGATTTTGGAGGATAAGGAGAGATATTCCTTTGCCTGAGCTTACTGCATTAGCACACATAGATTCAGTGGCCAGAGCAAGAATGCCAAAATGCTAAACATTGAAAAGGTAACTCCTGGCACTTTTGTCATTACCAGGGAAAAGGAAGACGGATGTCTGCACTGATGAAGTGGCTCCCGAGACAGAGAACCCTGTTGTGTAGGATGTGCCATGAAGAACAACACAAGCTGAGACCTGGATCATGGAGAGCTTCCCTGCCCCGACGCTTGATGCTCTGGGACATGGCTAGTGCCTGGAAACTTCCAGTCCTGCCTCTCAGGATCAAACTGGACAGCCAGCATACTGGGAGGATAGGCAGCACCTGAACAAACTCGGCCCTTCCTTGGCTGTCCGGTGGACAGGATGGGCTAATAGGATGCTCCTTGAAAAAACATCCTAGGTTCTCCAGGATCCACAGATTTGAGTATTTGAGACATCTGCTCCTCCACCATACATAAAAGTATTGCCCAACTGGCACCAAGTAATTGCTTCCGGCCTGAATCCTAGTCTCTAAACAACATCAGGTGATTGAACTTCAGAGAAAGTAAATCACCCACGACCAGTGAATCAAAGTATTGTCAAGAAGCAAGGCCTAGAATAAATAAAATTCAGAGGTGGGAGACAGGGCCTTATCTTTTAGACCTGAAGGTCTTTGAGGTTATCTGAGTTCATGGTCTCTCAAAGGTAAATGGTAGTTACAGATGACCTAGAATGACTGACATCCCACAGTTGGAATGGAAGCCATTTTCCTGATAATACTTTGTATATAGACATCCTTGCCATTTCCACTGATCTTGTCACCTCCTGCATGATCTGAGGATGGTATCTGAGGTTTTTCCTTTACTCTCAAGCACAGTGACCTGAAAAAGATGACTAAATATGCCTCTGCCAACAAGAAACTCTTGTATATCTTCAAGAAAAGCAGTTGAGTTCATGGCAAGTCTTTTTTTTTTTGTCTGAGACTGGGAGAGGAAGCTACTACAAAAGAGGAAAATTATGGAGGGGAAGGATGCCAAGGTATTTGAGAATCTGCCACATTCATTTTTAGATGCAAGTGCAGAAGAGCCAGCCAAGTATAAGGAAGAGACAAGACCCCATCACTCAACAGGATCATCAAGGTCATTTTGATACATGGGACAGAAAAGATTATTGTGGCCATCTTTAGAAAATGCATTCTGCCATTGACTGATTCTGGTTGAAAACAAGTCTAAGCTATTATTGCCACTGGAGGGGGAAAAAAGCTTGATGAGTGAAATTTACCCTTAAGAACAAGTGACTAATTAGGTTCACAGTTATTCCCACCCAATGTAACCAGGTTGTATTCCGGGGCCTCACTCAAGTCTCATAATAAAGACGTTCTTGATGAAACAGCAGTAGATTTTGGGTATGTTCACAGGTGGCTTCAGTCCCTCCACCTAGGATGTCAATCCTGCTATAGGACCTTCCCTCTTCCCCCCCCTGCCTGGAGAGTCACTTCACCTTGGACAAATAACTTGCAGAATTGAATTCCAGATTCACATCTCCACTGCTCCTACATTTCCTTTTCGGGCTCGCTTGAGAGTTCCTTGTTGGTCCTTGGTTTAACTCATGCTTATCCCTCTTCAGTGTCCACTTCTTTCCTATCACCTTCCCCTGCCAAGTTTACCTGCACAGCATATATGCCCACTCAGCCTAGCACTTGTGCTGCCCTGACCTGCCACCTAGAGGCATTCCTCATGCCAGATCACTGAAGTACGCAAAACTGGCCTAGCCCTAAAAAATGATAGGAGAAAGAAAGCCCAAGGTCTAGCAATAAGTTTTGATGATTCTATAAAGAAACAAAAAGCATGCACCACTGCCCCTTTCTTCCCTTCGTGTCTAATCTCGCCTCTGAATGGAGGCTACAGTGTTCCCCTGCACACGGTGACTCTTGACAACTTTGTATAGACAGTGGTTGGTTTTGATGTGAGTTGTCTCTGAACAGGCCCGTACTGCACATATCAACTGTATTCCCATCCCCAGCGACTCACTTGTCAACTAGGAGACTTACTAGCTTGCTATTGAACATCACAAAATGCTCCTGTAACACCAATAATTGTGCTAATAAGCATTGAGATTAGTGCCTTAACACTTCTGTCATCATGCATGGGTTGGATTTATGGCAGGCCTGTCTCTGTGGGCCTTTTATAGTGTCCCTTGCCAGAGCAAACTGTGGTTCTGAACCATTGCCTGGCCTCTGCCTGTGGGCTACTGGCATGGAAAGGGGTTGCATAGAGGAAAAGAACAGAAAAAGAAAAAAATGTGAATGAAAAGTTATGTCATCACAGATATAAACTGCAGGTTCTGCATATTCTGAGAGGAACAGCAAAGCTCTGGCCTTCATGGAGTTTATGAGCGAGGTCATGTAAATAAGGTATTAAGTTTATGTTCGGTGCTGATAGGTTCTGTTGAGAAAGGGCTGGGGAAGAAGTGTTTGAAGAGAGGGTTCATCTTAAATAAAATGATTGGAAGACACTTTCTAAAGAGGTGACATTGGAACCAGGGCCCAGGAAAATGAATGAGTGAGCCATGCAGTGACCAAGAATCCTTCACAAGGAAAGACCAGAAAATGCAAAGGCCCTAAGCAGGAGCAGGGTCAAAGAATAAAGACCAGGATGGTCTTCAGCTCATCCGTTCCTTGGGTTTCGGATGTTGACACCCTGATCAATCAGGGTGTCATACTTTACCAGAATAACGGTTGCACCCTCGTTTCCAGTACATTTACAGTCAGATTAGAGCCCTCCCCAAATCTGTTTTTGCTTTTCTTTTTTCCATTTTATTTTCCTTAAACAAACAGCCCTTACACCTGTTCTTCTGTGCAAAGGACAAACTCAAGAGCTACTAGGGTCATGGGGTCATGTGATGTGATTGGCTCAAATAGGGAGGGGAACGGACAGATTGGAGAGAACCTGGAGATCAAAAAAAAAGGAGGCAGAAGAAAGAAACTGCTGTGAAAATTAAAGGCATCTTTGGTGAATCTTCTAAATTTATGAAGAAGTCGTACCTGTTCTGAAATCCACTCTTGGATTGCTTACTGATTTCTAGAGGAAGAACCTCCCCTTTCCAGATTTGACAACATGGCTCCTTGCATCTATTCTGCAGGCAGCCTGGAAGAAAGGATGCAAAACTACAAAACACAATCATACACAGATTCTTGGGCAGCATTATTTGCCAGTAGGGACAGGCTCCACACATGGATAACCAGGAGGTTGTGGGTTGTCATACTTTCAGGAAGATACTGGTATATGACCAGAATGGTGAAAAATCCAGAACCCTTTCTCACAAGCAGTGATTAAAGAAACTGGTCATGTTTACTTTGGACCAAAAAGCTCAGAGGGGCATGACTGCAAATATTTGAAGGGCTATCACCTAAGCCCAGACTGTATAACTAAGGTCATTGAAGCATGTCACTAAGAGACAGAGATTGGCTCATATAAGTAACACTGTATTTGAGCTGTGAGGAAACTTCTTGGTTATTTAGTTCAAGGCTTTCATTTCTTGGATGGAAAGCTGAGCCCCCAGAGCTGTTACTCCCCAGATGGATATAATTAGAATAAAGTCAGAATTAGCTCTAGGTTGTATAATTCAATCCAGCAGCTCCTCACATTGCACCAGACGACCAGGGAAGGACCATTAACAGATAAAGAAAGCCAAATATGAAATGAGCTGTTTCAATGAATGTGCTTAAGCAAATATAATCTCAGAGCAAGATCATACACTGGACATGTTAACTATTAGGAAGGACTCTGCATTCGGAATGACAAGTATATGGCACATACATCCAGAATCTGCCTTCCAGCGCCATGTCAGATGTGGCTAATTAATTATGACACTTTTTCTGAAGAGACCAGCTGCAATGCTCAAGCTACCTCTATGAATCAATTAAAGTTGGGAGGCAAGATGAGACCAATTCATATTGCTTCCCAAACAGTATATAAGACCCTCCTGATATTACAAATTAATTATAAATGAAAGAAATAATGATTGAATATACAGCAGGATAAAAGAGACCAATGAGAAGATTCTCCAAGGGTATCAGAAAGAAGCCCTGCTTTTGCTAAAGAAGACATGTTCAGCCTTCATTTCGTCTGCATTTTTTCTGGGTATGTTGACTGGAAGAAGTGTCAGAACTTTCCAGAACAAAGTGATTGGCAGCAATGGCAAATAAGTTTCATCTTGATCTCCAACTTTCATTGATTGGTAGAGGTAACTCAAGCATCAGTAATACCATTACCAGGAAAACACTGAACAAAAGCACATAAACCAAATAAGTGAATATAAAATATACAGCCAAAGAAATGTTTGTGTTCTTTAGAATATTTAAGAATGGGAAAAGACTTGTATCTGTCAAGAGTCTTTGGATGTAACAAACAAAAAATAACTAGGATCCAAGCTGGGATCCTAGCTGGACCAAAGTGCTGATATACCCACCCTGTTGACCTTCACATCCCACCCCAACAGGGCTGCTCTGGCTCCTTAGAAAGCTATCAAGGTCAGGGAAGGTCACTGAAACTTAGCCTTGCTGGAGAGAAAATGAAGAGGTCTTTGCTCTACCCACTACCCCTCCCTGTGCGCTGATTGGCCCACCACATCTGCTTACATTCAGCCAGCTAAGAGCTCTAGGTGCTCACTGTGGTCCCCCTCACCAGGCTCAGGCACTCACCATGCGCCAATCCCACCAGCCACAATCTGCTGATAGTCTGGCCCTCTCTCTCTCTTTTTCTTGCTCAAAAACATTTTGCTGTCCCCCATAGACACACACACACACACACACAAATCTTGTTGATAACAGTAGCCTTATAGCCTGACATTTCCAGCAAATTGCTAACCATTGTTACACACACAGCGCCTTGGACTCTTCCTGCACACTTAAGCACACCTCTTCATACTCAGTGGTACCTTTAATAGGAGACTGTGGTAAGGGAAGAACCAATTTGAGGCACAGACACTCCAGGAAGAAGAATGAGAGGTACAGGAGAGAGATAGAGACTACCGTATTACCTAGTATCACTCATGTGAAAAAGAATTTTATACCAGACACCACAGTGACCACCCAACACTTCAGCCAAGACCAGGCTGCAGTTAACACAGTTAACAGAAGCTGTATTCCTAAAGGACAAGCACAGCCAGATGCCTGTTATTCCATTACCTGCCCAGTTATTCCAGGAAGAACATGCACACAGAGGCAGCTCTACCTCTGCACCAAGGCAAGAAGGTCGCTACCTCAGCCTGGGCCCCAGGAGCCCCCCTCTGGCTCACCCTCAAGAAGCCAATGGGACACCCTTCTAGATTCACTACTCCTCGCAAGCTATACTTCATGAATCCAAGATCCATGAATTTCCTGCCCACATGGGAATTCGCCACCTTCCTTCCTGGGTTCATCCTGCCCCAAATGGACCAAATCCTCTCTATACACACCCTAGGTGTTAAGGTAGCTTGAGGGGGAGGGGGTAGAGGTAAGACAGATGTGCCAGAGGATCTACGTGTTTGGAGCCACAGCCCAATATACTCTAGGCTAGAGATGAGGGTAAGAAAAGGAGTGCTCAGGACCAGAGCAGTTTTCTTACCGAGTCCTGGTATGCTCAATGAGTCTAAGAGTTCATATAAGGATTTGTTAGGGGCTGGGAAGGTGGCTCAGTGGTAGAGTGCTTGCCTTGTATGCATGAGGCCCTGGGTTCAATTCCTCAGCACCACATAAGCAGAAAAAGCTGGGAGTGGTGCTGTGACTCAAGTGGTAGAGCACTAGCCTTGAGCTGAAGAGCTGAGGGACAGCGCCCAGGCCCAGAGTTCAGGCCCATGACTGACAAAAAAAAAGGATTTGTTAGTATGATTTATAATTAAGGCAGGATTGACTATGAATTAGCCTCCCTTGGGACTCTTGTCTATCACAACTCCCATCCATCCATCCATCCACTGAACCTGAGATCTCCCTCTGTGACTAAGAGGAAACCCTCATTTGTCACTTCAGTCCAGAAGGAGCACAACGGCATGGATCTGAAGTCAACCTGGAACAACAAACCATGATGTCCTAGCCTACTGAGCTCCGTCTCTCTTCACAATCATTCTGCATACCTTTTTATGTTTTTTTTTAATTTTTTGTCAGTACCAGGGTTTGAATTCAGGGCCTCATGCTTGCTCTGCTTAGCCCTCTACCACTTGAACCACACCTCCAGCCCAGCTTTTTGCTAGCTGGCTTCAAACTCTGATCCTTCAGATGTCATCTTATTATATAGCTAGGATTTCAGGCATAAGCCACTGGTGCCCAGTTCAGTACACTTTTAATGAGTACCTACTGCATGCCAGAGACTAAGAATCAACATGTCTCTGCACTCGGGAAGCTTGCAATCCAGTAGGCAGAGACAGACACTGAACAAATAAGCATATATGTTTGATTAAAACTGTGCTAAACTGTACAGAAGAAAATCACTGATAACCATAAACAAGAATAACAAAATGTCACTGTGGGAGGACAACACAAAGGGCTTCTTTGAGGAAGGGCTATTCAAACTGCAACCAGCAAGGAGAGTACAAATTAATAAAATGGCAGTTGGGAGATGCTGCATGCTGAGGAACTGGCAAGTATGAAAGCCCTTCTGGAAAGATCTTGGTTTATGTGAACATCTAAAGGAAAGATCCCCACAGCCAGAGGGTAATGAGCAAGCAGGACCCTGGACTGAGACAGTTGCAGAGGTCAGGTCAGGCAGAGTCTGGTAGGACATGGTAAGATTTAAATTTTAATTATAAATGTGAAAGGAGGCTACTGAAGAGCTTTAAGAAAAGAAATGACATGAGCTGACTTGCATTTTTAAAGGACTAGTTTGGTACTGCATGGTGCACAGAGAAAAGGGGGAAGGAGGGGGTGATGAAGTGATTCTTCCTAGCAGTAGATGATGGCAGTCTGGAATGGAAATGAAGGGGGAGAGCGAGAGAAGTGGGTGGAACCAATACATATAGAGGAGCTAAAATCTAGAGGGCTTAGTGCCCTTGGCTGAGGGAGGGTCAAGGGTGCCACAGAGGCTTGTTACTGAGATCTAAGTAACAAGGCACCTCAAGGTGTAATTCACCCAAACTAGCAATGAAGACAGAAGATCACATAGGATGGGGTCAAGAGTTCATTTGTCTTTAAAAATATATGGAAGCCGAACAATATATTGGGTTGAATCACATAAAAACCATCATACTTACAAGTTAAAAAAAAAAACTGGTCAAGATCTGGGCACTGGTGGTTCACACCTGT